TTTTCACTTAAAAAATCACATGAGTAATGAAGGATTATGAAAAAACTTTTGAGTTTTACGGCTATTCTTGTCCTAAAATTATATTGAACAACTACTAAACCAAAAAAAAAATTGAAAAAAAAATCAAAAGAATTCTTGAGGAACCACAAAACTTTAATCAAACTATAACGATGGTAAAACTATTGATTTTTTACTCAGTGAAAAACTGGTGTTTCTTAATCCCATGGGAGAATTTGTCCATTTTTTAATGAATATGGGATAAATCCCACATTTAAAAAGAGATGGGAGATTATCTTCTGTATTTAAGTATATGGGAGATTTAGTCCCATTCTGAAGAAATAATGGGATTTTTTAACTTCTATGGGAAAAAAACCCACAGGATACCTTTTTCCAATAGGATAATGGTCGGATACATGTATAAGTTAAGAGAAGAAATTCAAACATTATCCCATGGGATTTCCTGATTGAAGGTATATCTTTTTACCTAGAAAGTAAACAGTTGTAGATTTTGGTTTGAGTGTTAAGATTTTAAAAATGCCACCAGATGACATGTTCAACATGTATCTTTTAAAAAGTGGTGGGCTGATGCTGTGTCCGGAGTTAAATATCGCACTGTTTATATCAACTTGCCTCATTAAAACATTGAAATAGGGACACTGTATTTCATTAAAATACAAAACACATACTGTTTAGCTCAATTTGTTTCAAGTATTTCCTATCTAGATTTTTCACTATTTGTTTTCTCTCGACATTCAACTTGGTTTTCTTTAGATACTCACACATGTACCTAGACCCTATTTTTTTTTCTAGACGCCCCCACTCTCTAGACTTTCAACCTTGTATTATCTCTAGACTTTTGAATGTTTGCATTCTAGATTTTTTATTTTGTTTTCTTTTTGGAGTTTTACACGTTTTTTTTCTTTAGATAAAGTATGGAAATACCGAACAGTATATTAGCTCATAAGTCCATTCAAACAATACAAATTAGGTGCAGAGCAAACACGGACTTCTAAAACATAAGAAGTGGGATCAGGTGTCATGGAGGAGTGAGCATCCCCTGCCGACTGGTAACACCTACCTGTGCTCCTTGTCATGATCAGGAAAAAATTGGAAAAATCCGTGGACAATTCAGCGTGTAAATGATGGCCTAACAATTACATATAGCATGCAAAACATCGGTCAGCATTTGACTTAATGATAGATTAATTGTATTTGCTGACAAGGTCATTGTATCGACCATAAAACTTGCGAAATGATGACTTAAGCCAAGACTGTTGATATTCTTGTTTTATCATATTTTTTTTCAATGGCCTGTCTCGTTTTTAGGAATTGTTCGTACGTATATCATGGTCTTGCGTATCGAATCAACTGAGATATATAGTTTTCATATACAGGTGATAAGGGTATATTGCTACATGAGTAAGGGAGGTTGACGATTGAAAAGTTGAAGTCATCACTTTTATCATAAAACTAACCTAACGTCTTTTTCTAGTAAAATATCCAAATATGAAACAGATGTGTCACACTCTGTGGTATCTTTTTATTCCAAGCTCACTGGGATATATCGAGTCGACATATGAATGGAAGTACAGTGTAACTATTTTTATTGATAATATCTAAATGTCGAGTTGAAGGTCACAGCAAGTGTTTTTTTTTTCTCATGTGTAAGATTTTGAATAAATTCTGCTTTATTTGAATACAAAAATAGTCTGCTAAAAATAGATGATTATAGATGAAATATATGGAGATAACGAACAGTACTCAAGCTCAAAAGTCCATTAAACAATACAAAATAGGAGCAGAGCAAACACGGACCTCCAAACATCAGAGGTGGGATCAGGTGCCATGGAGGAGTTAGCATCCCCTGCCAAACGGTCACACCCGCGAGGGTTTTCTTCTCTTAACTTATATCCCACCATTATCCTATTGTTTTTTCTCAAGACTTTACACTTTCTTGACTTTCCTCTGTGTGTTCTCTTTAGACTCTCTACTTAGGCTTTCACTCTGTTTTCCCTCTAGACCTTTCCACAATGTTTCTTTCTTATTAACTATCTAGTATGTGTTCTCTCGATTTTCCACCTTGATTTCTTTAGACTTTCTACTTTGTTTTCTATCTAGAATGTCCACCTTGCTTAACTTTGTACTATTTATATTTTTAACCCTGCATTTTCTCTTGCCTTCACATTCTTTATTTTCTCTTTTTAGATTTTCCTCTTTGTACTTTTTCTTTAGACTTTTCATTTTGTTTTCTTTAGACTTTCCACTTCCTTGTCTTTCGAAACTTTGTATTCTCTGTATTCTCTTTAGACCTCTCAACTTTTTTATCTATTGACATATTTTTTACCTTTTCACCCTTAATGCCACCCTGATTTCTCTCTAAACTTTCATAATTTTTGCTCTCTGGGCTCTCTTTGCCCCTTAGACGTTTAAACTTTATTTTCTCGATAGGCTTTACCTTCAGAATTACTTTCGATCGACTTCCAGTCCTGCATGTATTTCCTTTACCATTTCCACTTTTTCTCTTTAGACTTTCCACCCGGTCAATCTATAGACTTCTATTTTTGTCCCCCGCTTTCACTGAAAGTGGGGGATATTAATTTGGGTCTGTCTGTCCGTCCGTCCGTCAATATCTCTGTCTGTCTGTAACACTTTCGTTTCCACGCGATATCTCGAGAACCCTTTGAGCTTTTGCAATGAAATTTTGCATAGCAACTTCATATGAACTAAAGAAAAACTAAAGAAGAATCATATTTATTTTGACGTCAAAGGTTAAGGTAATAAATTCATAAATTCTGTCTGTTTTAAAACTTCCGTTTCCGCGCGATATCTCGAGAATCCTTTGAGCTTTTGCAATGAAATTTTACATAATAACTCCGTGTGGTCTAAGGAAGACCCCTGTTGATTTTGAGGTCAAAAGGTCAAAGTTCAAGGTCGTAAATTCATACATTCCGTCTCTGTGTAACACTTTCGCCTCCGGGTGATATCTCAAGAAGCTTTTGAGGTTTTGCAATGAAATTTTATTCCATAAATCCCCATGGCCTCTCTCGCCCCTCTCAAAGTGTCCCGTGTTTTTTTTTTTATTTGTTGTATTAAAAGTCGATTGGCACTTTTTTAGCATTCGGGCACGTGGAGAGTTATTACGTGTAATACAGTGTCGGCGGACTTTATATTTTAATTACATCTATTAGAACTGTTTAGTAAAGGCTAAATTAGACACCATGTATTGTGTAAAATTTGACAATATCGAACGTGAATATAAATATTATATGTGACCTAATGTTTGCATTTAATTTCCGGTATAATCAAGTGCCTTCGTGGTCTAGGGGTATGATTCTTGCTTAGCAAGTGAGAGGTCCCGGGTCAAATCCCGGACGATTCTTTTTTTCCTTTTGTGAATTTTTTTTTTTTTTTTTGATTTACTAAATGATAGTATTCAGCATGTGAAATGAAAAAGTTATGACGTCTGGCTTGTACAAACTCATAAATTCATTATTACATCATGATTCCTTTTGGTTCCTGGTGGAACATAGGGCCTCGGCAACAGTCCTCCATCGCACTCTGTTTTGAGCAGCCTTTTTCAATTGTTCCCAGCTATGTCCACACTGTCTGATTTCCTCTTCACATGACCTTCGCCAAGTTGTCCTGGGACGCCCAACTCGCCGTTTGCTTTGGGGGTTCCACTCGAGTTCGTGGCGTGTAACGTCTCCCGATGGTTTTCGGAGGGTATGTCCAATCCACCGCCACTTTCTACGGGCTATTTGTTTAGTGATTGGGTCTTGGTTTGTTGCTTCCCACAGGTTCATTATTACAAATATTTCACAAATTCATTATTACAGTGTGATAAATATTCTATATAAAAAGAATCTTCTACATGTATACACATATTAAAGAAAAAGCAATCAAATCTTTATATCCATATTGGAAATTTTTTTTGCTTCAATATACATGTATACACTTAATAATTCTAGAAATCCGGGGGGGGGGGGGGAGTCCGACCCCCCCCCCCCTCGAACTGCGCATGCTCTTCTTTTTTCCCTAAGCGGGGGACACAAATTCTCTGAATTAGCATGTTAGATTTTTTTCACTCTCTATTCCTAAACTTAACCGAAATGTTCTCTCTAGACTTCTTTCTTTGGGCTTTCCATTATTTATTCTCTATAGATTTTCCAATTTGTTTTTCTCTCTAGGTTTTCATCTTGTGTTGCCTATAGAGTTCTCATTTTTTTTTTCTCTCTAGACTTTTACCTTGTATTTCTCTGTGTTTGTTATCACCTGCCAGTGACCAATCATTAGAGTCATTTCTCGTCCATGTTGAATAGGATCAATGGGGTGATAGTGTGGGCAAAGGATAACATCAATCTCCATTATATTAATGTTATAAAAAAGCTTTTTCATAAAAATACCTCTGCATAAACCCATTATCTATTATTCAATCAATGAATTATGAACAAACTGTTAGAGTGTGAAATAGTCATTAAGTCATAGAAAATTTTTCATATTTGATATTTTTATTGTATCGTCAATGTCAAAATATAGGCATAGATGAACATTTATACTTGTAGATCATTAAAGGACTTAAACAAATTTCACTCCGAAAAGTAACAAGAAAAAACTAAATGGTGATGCATTTAAAAATGTCAAGGTAGTGTAAATACATTGAATAATATAATAATATAAGTAATAGTTAAACTTTCGATTTAGTTCTCTTAAATCAAAATTGTAAATCCCCTTTTTACTACCTTAATAAAATTTTTATCTAAAAAAAGAAAAGTATAAAAAGAAACAAAAGTTTGACCAATAATATCCACGCTGTCTCAACTTGACAAGACTTATTTTGCAGCCTAAACATCAGAAACATATGGATTTTAATCAAAGATAGATGTTCACACGAAGAGGCCCGCCTCTTTTTCCGTGCTTACGTCAGACCAATGGGGGACTGATGGGTACTATAAGTTATGAACAACAACCACCATATGCTGAAAAGGTAGAGCATCAACTTCAAAACGTTAACCCTGTCCGCCAACTACCTCTAATAAAAGATCTGCTTTGCGGCCATATCGAACGGACAAGAACCAGGGAGAGTGAGTCCGTCTTATATCTGGCGGCGGTGATTTAAACGCAGAGCCACAACCTACAGTAGTAGCGTACTAACAGCGTTTTATTCTGTGAGAAGCCTAACTATATCTCTGCAGTGACTATGATGACAATTTCTTGGGTCTCAATTCTTTGTCTTGGGCTGCTATTTATCAGGACCTGTGATGCTACAATACTAGAAGAAAGAGATAAGGTAAGATATAAATGAGTTTCTTTTTTGTGCTTAGGTGTATTTAAAAACACACACAATCTCTTCTTAATTCAAAAGATCATCAAGACGTACACATGTTTTCTCAATTTTCAAACAAAAAGGGTTGCTATCGGTCACTGAGGGGTGAATGTTCTGACCTTTAACTAGACGCTGAGCAGAAGCTGATCTGTCGAAAAAAATTTATCTCTCCTCCGTCTTTCATTTAAAATTTCTAAATATCTTTAATTTTAGTTTAATACATTCAGTTTAATACATTTAGTTTAATACATGTGTCCAAAAACTCAACATTTTTTTTAAAGAGAAATAAGATAAATTACATATGCAACTTTTGATAATATCATTAAAGGAACATGTGCTTGTTTTTATGTGTAGCAATGTACAAATATATAGCATTCCGCATTAATCTCATGACTTCTACAAATGAGTCTAGAAGTGACCAAGGTTTAAGTTGATGAGCACGATTAGCCACGTAAAGCTGTCTATACATGCACTTCCATTAACATCAAAGTCCAGTACTACCACCGAGGGATTCCCTCGAACATTACAGGGATTTTGTTAGACTCTTATAATTAAGGAAATGACGGATTAAGACAAGAATTATCACTCTACAAATAAAAATCTTCCTGTAGACGACAGCGTCCCATAAAGCTTAAAATGTTACTGTAATGAAAAAAAAATTGAGAGACAGAGAGACAAAGAAAGCAGTTCCGCAGGAAAAATCATTTAATATCATTCCAATGTTTTTAGAGTTCGATTTAAGTATCAATTGGAAATTAAGAACAAACTTAATTCTTAAGTAGAAAGACGTAGTTTGATACAAAACAAATATAATATTGGTAAGATTATTTCAATTCAATCAAAATTTTAAATCTGCACCTTGACTAGGCCTCAAAATCCACCAGGTGTACCTAAACCATAGCACACATTAACAATGTATACCTGTTCAAAAATTGTAATTAATAGATTGATTGTGTGTTGTTTTACGTCCGGTTCGATATTTTTTCACTCATACAGAGACGTCACCATATACCGGTGAAGGGCTTCAAATTTACACCTTTACTCGGCACTCAGGACCACTGAGCAATGAGGGTTCTTTATCGTGCCAACGCCTACCGCCTCGATTTTTAAGGTCTCATCCGAAAGACCCACACCTTTCACTCCAAAGTGCCGAGCGCTTGGTGAAGGAACAGTTGCTACCTATTTTTATCGACTAAGGTCAGTCACGGCCGTGATTCGAACACACGACCTTCCGATCACGGAGCATAATATATGTTTCTTAACAGACAAATAGAAAGATAAGCATTTTTTTTTAAATCCCTTGATAAGATTTTTTTATACATAGTTAAGTAAGAACGGTTTTCTGCGCTTAGTGAACTTCATTAAAATTATTGATTAAAAGATTTTGAAGGTACTTTATGTGATCATTTCAACGAATACCCTGCTCTGTTGAAATTAGTAAACAAAATTGCCAATTTGTTGAGATTAAACGTTATTTGTCATTAACATTGGTTTTTAGTCAAATATTCAGATTTGTTTTTGCCCAAACAATGCCAACAAGGCAATTAGTTCAGCCATTTTCATTAAGTGGAATCCGATATTAGGTCAAATTATTCCGGAAAAATCGTATGATCAATTACTGAAACGTGTTGACTTCTTAAAAAATACATTCAATTTAACAGAATAGCTTGAGCTACCGGGTTAGTTATGTTTCTTCACAAGCTACATTTTGTAATGATTCGCAACTTTAAATCGTTTAAATTTCTTTCTTTTTAAAATATAAGATTTGGAAATTCAATATTAAAAAAAGAACAAGTTTTTAAATGTTTGTCTGATCGCAAGAGGATTCATTCTCAACTCATATCGTATCCGTTATATTTAAGAGATGAAATAATTACTGATGACCAGAGTTTGCAATCACCAATCGGTGATTAAGATGTAGATGGATACGTGTACACTTTGTTTTTCGTGCTCATTAAGTCAGAATAGAATTGATTTAAATGATTCCTTTTGCACAAAAATATCTATAATCAATTTAAAGGAAAAAGGGTCATTCTTAATAGTTCTATAAACCGTTTTTATATATGAATAATACGGCTTTCAGGGTGATAGCTATGTATTAAAATCACAAATTACACACACAACAAATAAAAATAGCTTTTTGTATAAATACATGTACATGTACATGTATATCATAATAGTGTAAATTATTGCTGTATTTTATTGACATCAGTATCATGGCGCCCTAATTTCTTACGCTAAAATGAACTCATGGCTCTCTAATTGCCTATTCCCAGTAAACATTTGTCTCAGTCTTTGGGTTCTCAGCTGTTTTCCTCAAAGAATTGCTATACCGGGCCTCGGTTACTGATCGCATTAGGAAAAGCTTTTTATTTATTAAATGTGAATGAAACGCTCATAGAAACAAACCATAGTTATTGAAAAATGCCTTTGTGTCTTAGATAACATTAACTCTTTATAAAACCTGTTTCCTGTTTGATTTAGTTTATGTGAGTGACAAATCAATATGTTTTTTTCTTTGTACGCATTTTGCAACGACTTATCAAAAAAGTTAATGAATTAAAAGACACGTATTATGGCCTCCGACAGAGGTATTGCGAGGTCTTTTTCAACACTCTCCATTTGTCATATAAGATATTTGATTAATTTTACTTGCATCGAATATTAACCTATTGCAAAACAAAAAACCAAAAAAAAAAACACCTTTTCATCTGCAGTGTATTAATTAAAATTAATTTGAATGTGAGACTGATTGTCTATCATGACTGGTTTGAAATAGATGATAAAATTACTCTTTGAAACCCTTCTTAATTAGCAGAGGAATTAGCATACGTCTAACTAGGATATAACACGAATCTATTCTACGAACCACATTCAAGATTACCACCAGACAAAGAAGCCCGCCTCCCTGGTTCAACCATAAGATTCACAACAAAAGACCAGCCTTATTTATGACATACTCTACATTAATTTGATTACTGTAATGTGACCACATATATATTGTGTTTATTGTGTCGCATTGGTTTTTCGGGAGAGAGAATCGAGGAAAGTGGAAAAGGAAGAAAAGCAATTAAGAGAAAGTGAAAGTAGTAACGGTCATCTCAAAGAATTAGAACCGGAAGTTTTCGCCAACATCAACTGCGGCATTTATTACTATCTGTCCAGAGCTTTTAGACAAGATTTAAAATGGCTTTATAACTTAATCAGGGTCAATTAATCGATCTTATATATAAGTGTGTAGAAGTCGGGCAAATCCTTAAAAAAGATCATTGCCGTTTCTAAATGTACAACATATAGACGTGAAATCTTAGTTAAAATTCTGATAAACATATATTAATATTTAGCATAGATCTAGTGTTAATTCACTCAGTCTGTCGTTAACATTATGAGATCGAAATAAATTAGAGATCGTCACAGTAGCTCCGTCGCTCCGTTCCTTAAAAACCAAAGCAGACGTTGCCACGATAAAGATCCTTTACTGCTCAATGACACTATTTCACGAGTGAAGGTCGAAATTTCAAGCCCTTCAACGGTATATGATGATGTTAATATGAGTGAAACATTCTCAAATGGGACGTAAAAATATACAATCAATCAATCAATTGGAAGTAAGAGTAAATTCGGGCATTTCTTCTCATAGTACGGACTTCCGGATGATGTTGGCAATGATAACATAAGCTAAACCTCTTGATCATAAAACATCAAAGAAAATGGAGTTTTTTTCTAAGAAAGAGATTAATATTTGATTTTCAAAAAAAAAAAAAATAAATAAATAAATAAAAAATAAAAAAATAATAAAACCGAAAAGTCTCTGATATAGAGTTTTCTGTCAATTTAAAAATTCCACAGTGTGACACATCTGTTTCATATTTTACTAGAAAAAGACGATAATGGTAAATTGGTAATCTAACAACAAAGCTGTATGATAAATGTGATTACTTCAACTTTTCAATCGTCAACTTCCCTTACTTATGTAGCAATATACCCTTGTATCACCTGCATACGGGGTTTATATCTCTCAGCTGATTCTATACGCAAGGGTACGAACAATTTCTAAAACGAGGTAAGTAATAGACAAACACATTGATGAAACAAGAATATCAACAGTTTCTTTTATAGTCATCATTTCGGTATATCTATGGTCGATAAAATGACCTTGTCAGCAAATATAATCTATCATTAAGTCAAATGCCGACTGGCAATTTTCATACTATATTTTAGGTCATTATTTACACACTGAATTGCCTACGGATTTCCCGTTATTTCCTGATCATGACAAGGAGCACACGGCGGGTGTGACCGATCAACAGGGGATGTACACTCCTCAATTGCACCTGATCCCACTTCTGATATTTTAGAGATCCGTGTTTGCTCTGCTCCTGATTAGTATTGTTTGAATAGACTTTTGAGCTTGAATACTCTTTGTTATCTCCATATATTTCATTAAAGCTACTAAGATCTTAAGATTTAGAAAAAAAAATATATTCTAACAGATAAAGTCGGTTTTACTGTGTATTTAAATGTTTTAGGTATGTTTCTTCGTAACTCATCATACGTGAATTTAACCTTCTTTGTTCAAACTCCCTCACACAAGGAACCATAATGATATATCTTTGATTATACATGTTATTCTTAATAAACAGTTCTTATTCCTTTTCGTGATCGTGATCTTTTATAATTTTAGCTCTCCATTTTTCACTTAATTCGTTGATATACTATATGAACTGAAGAGGACTGTCATCATTGATTTCAGTGATTGATCACAGAGAAACAACATGCTTATGCTTTTATATACCATTTCGTGATATTATATCTCATCCCAAAAACAACTTAATTGGTTATTCCTTGTCTGCAAAACACAAAGTAGTCCATTCTTTCCTTTTTTAAATATCTTTTATGTTTTAAGTAATAAAAAGGTGAATATAACGGACAGTGGTCAATCACATTATACTCATACTTCTCAT